TCTGGGAAAGCTTTAACCACATGCTTTGTGTTAAAACTTTTCTTATAAGCAACTCCGTGCCCTGCCGCCACCCCCCCCCCGCCCCCCAGTGACTTGATGGCTTTGGCTAGGGTTTGAAAGTTGGATCGGAGGGAATTGTAAACCCTCTCTCTCTCTCACACACACACACATACACACACACCACCCAGGCCTGGGATTTGGGGCTGTGTGCAGGTGCCCTTCCTCCTTGTCCTCTGGTTTCCCTAGGCCTCCTGGTTTCCCCTGACCCCCTCAACTCCTGTTTCTTTTAAAATTTCCATCTCTTGAAGTTTCCATCCCCAACTGGGGCCCTGAGCTTAACCACCTACTAAGACCACCTGTGACAAATTGTCCCCAAATTGTTGGTGCCTGATTAGAGCAGTCTCCCTGGAACCACATGCACTGGGCAAAGGTGTCTTCTAGTCGAATGACCATTTGAATGCTCAGCCAGCACACAGTTGCCAGGAGCTCACCCTCTCCTTGCCCAGATTCCCCTGGTTGGCATAAGGTTCAATGGTTAGATGGTTACAACTTTGCAAAACAGGCTGTTATCTGTAGGTCTGACCATGCTGGCTGTTCAGAAGGCTACTTAGGGCTCCCACAATTCTGAAAGGTATAGATCTTTTCCCTTATCTTGTCACTTCCTTTTTAATCCACAATTGCTGTTACCTCTTTTTGCTTCTCCAGAATTAGTTTCAAAATCTAAATGCTTTTCTTGACTGTCCTGTTGTTTAGCTCCTGTTGGTTTATTGTTTAGATATAAACGTTCTTTCTAAAACACAGGAACAAGAAAAGTGCAAGTGTGTACCTGGTGCATCTAATAAAACTCGCCCAATTAATTCAGAATGGCTTGGCACAAAGAAGGCTCCTGTCTGCTTCAGTTTTCATTTTCTCTAGGATGCTAATTGTTTTTCTTCTGATAATCTTGTATTTTTGGCCTGAAGTCTAAAATCTGGCCTGCTGGGCTATGTGTCAGATTTGTAAATTAGATGACATCTGTTTTGAATTTTATCATCTTTAATTTTCTTTCCAACTCTCTTCACTTATTCATTTCCCCTTTAATTATAAGGATCACACTTCGCTGGGTGATTTAGACAAAAGTGTAGACCTTTCTTCTTTGGGGGACACAGATTAAAATTACTGAAGCTAAGTGGTCACAATGAAGGCTATTTAGGAAAAAGATGTTGGGAGAGAAGCCTTAGCAACCATCCCAGAGCGGATGAGCAGCTAATACAAAAGGCTGGCTGTCCACACCAGTGTTTTGAGGTTCCCACTGAATAATTACAATCGACTAGAAGGAGATTAACAGTGAATGTTGAACACTGGTAAAGTGAGTATTTTGAATTGAGAAAGGTTGAGGTAGTGGAGATGGTGGTGGTGATGGTATGTGAGGTGAGTGGTGGCATTTTTATTTCTTTACATTTAATTTCTCTCTGTGTGTTTTTTTTCCCCCAGAAAAATTGAAGGAGGAAAACTTAAATGCATTCTCATACCTACAGATTCATACTTTAATAGTAAAATCTTTTTTTCCTCCTATGTATATATCTCCTAAATTCTTCTTTTCATGGGGAAATTGTTTATTGCTAACTGGGTTGGGCCTACTTATTAAGGATCAATGTTCTTGTTAGAATGCCCAAGGTAACACCCTTGCGTAACATGTTTTTCCTTTATGTAAATATTTTTCACATATATACTCTTGCAGATGTTCTGGCGTCTTGCAACTTTGCATTTGTAGAGGCAATAGAGAGTGTGTAGAACACTGGCCAGAACATGTGCCTAAGCTTTCACATCTGATGCACATGTCGCTCATCACTGGAAAAAGAACTAAGCAGGCTGGCTCTGCACAGAATACAAAATGGCTCCCCCAAACACCTGCTGTAGAGGCTCGAAATCAAATTTCTAAAACCACATCACCATGAAAATTGGCCAAAAGTGACTTTGTGCTTGCATACAAATGACAAATCACCCCTTCATGGTGCTGGCCTTGGATTTCTTGGATACTGCTGTGTTTAGGCTGTTGCTAGGCAGGTCATGGGTCTGTAAAAATACTATTTTTGAATAGAATATGTATGTAGGGGTAGTTCTCACTGTAAGAGATTTATCTCTCAGGAGACATTTAGCAATGTCTGGATAAATTTTTGGTAGCCATAACTGAGGGGGAGGACTGCTACCAGCATCTACTGGGTAGAGTCCAGATGCTGGCAAATATTCTATAAGGCACAGGACAGGCCCATAACCAAGGATTAACAGGCCTAATTTTCAATAGTACCAAAATTAGAAACCCTGGTTTGTAGGCATTTATATATTGAGCCAGCCAACAACAGATCAAAACTATGGTGTTGAGAGCAAAAGCGCACTTGCAAGCAGTCTTCTTTGGATGAATAGCTTTTGTTGACTTTGATGACCCTATTAGCCAGATAATATTCTCTGTATAGTGGACTGAGAGATCCTGCCATTTGGCCCTCCTGCTCCTCTTTTCATGGTTATTAGCATCATCTTCCATGAGTATGCAGTCATTCCAACTATGTATCTTTGGGTTTTATCCACAATCCTTCCCTTTTCCTCACCCTGCCTCCCGTTGGTAATCAGTTCCTCATAATTCTGTGCTCTCCTAATTATAATGATATTCCCTGACTTCTTAGTCTAAATACTACTGGTTTAGTTCAGGCCTCCCTCACAGTTGAAAGAGCCTGAAAAAAAAAAAAAAGAAAAAGAAAAAAAAAGGAAAGAGCCTGTTTATTAAGTTTCCAATACTACTATCCTGGTCACTCTCTTGCCATCCTGCTGCTCCAGCCAAATCCATTCAGTGTTCCACATCTTTAGCTGCTTCCTCATTTACCTGGTCCTTCAGTGAAGAAACATTTATCAAGTGCCTATCTGCTAATTACTCTGTTAGGAGCTGTGATCATTCCCTGGTTTAAAATATTTCTAAGCCTCCATATTGCTTAAGGGATGAACCCCTCACTTCCTGACACAGCACGTAAAAGCCTCTGATAATCTGCCTCTGACCTAACATTTCAGCTTACTCTCCCACCCTGCCCTGATGTACTTGCTCCAACCACAATGAACCAATCCCTTTTCCTTAGTTTGGGTCACACACTCTTAAGCCCCTATAACTTTGCACATGCTATTCTCTGTATTTGAAGTCTCCTTTCTACCCTTATCTGAAAAACTCTCATTCATTCTGTGCAACTTAATCTAGTACCTAGAGAAATGCCTGGCCATGAAGCTACTCAATAAATAGGGGGTGAACTTAAATTTCAATTTCTCTGTAAAACATTCTATAATCTCCTGGCTGTTAGTTAATACATCTCTCATGCTCCACAGCCCATTGTATGCACTTCTACCCAAATCCCTTCACATACCTGTGAATCCCTTGAGGGCAGGGATGGTGTCTTATGTCTCTTGGAACCTCCAGACTCTGAGCCAAACTGGACATAAAGTGGACCCTGATGATTCAATGCTCACTATTTTGTCAAGGTGGCTTCTTACGTTTTTGGAATCCTTGATTCACACTGGAAATGGTAGGCATCATTTGATATCCCAAAAACTCACAAAATTTGACAGTGATCTCAAATGGGCCCTGACCCTTCTCTAGAACTGAATACACTTCAGTGCATAGTGTGAAGATAAGGTTTGAGTCCATCCTCTATCACCTAGTCACTATTTAACCTTGGGAAGACATTTAACTCACCTCTCACCTCAAAAATAGAAGTATTTTTTCTTTTGTAAAATAGGACTAAAGATACCTGCTTTTCTTACCTTGTGGGTGATCATGAGGATCAAATGAGACTACATTTTGGAAACTGTTTTTTAACTTCTAAGGGTTATAAAACTTTCCAAGTCCTTCCCTATTCAAAATATAGCAAAATAAAATACATCCCTTCCCTTAATCTTACATGATCTTTATTTTTTTCCACAATTTTTTTCACAAACTTTGGCCAGTTTGATGCATTGTATCCACTCTCTCCCTTCAAACCCAAGCATTCTGTTTTCTTTCCACCCATATCACTAGTGGTTCATTCACCACAATTTTCAATACTTATGGCTAATACCCATGGACACTCTTCTGTCCTTCTCTCACTGGACTTGACTTCAGCCTGCCTCTCCCTGAGACATTCTCTTCATTGGAATCAGAGTGAGTTTCCTGAAACATGGATTCTGATAATATCCTGCCATGTATAAAACCCCAGAATGATTCTTCATAGCCTACAGAGTAAAATTCAAACTCCTTAGGAAGGTGTCAAGCCCACCATCATGCTGTCCCTGCCGACCCCTTCATTGGCATTACCTAATGTTGCTCTCCTTCTAACACACACCCTACCCATACAAAATGACTTCTGTTTCTAGAAAGTGTTGTGCTCTTTCACATGCTCCCCAAAAGACAGCCTGGTGCAATCTGGTCACCTTTTAGGACTTGGTTCAAAATATCATCTCTTCTGGGAAGCCTTCCCTGATCTAAGCTTCCTATTTCTCTCCATACCTTGCAGAAGTAGATATACCTATCTACTTCTATATCTATACCTATCTGTGTGTCCCCAGACTCCTTGGCCACATCTTGATTAAGCATGACCTTCCCATTATTCTCTAGTTACCCACTTAAATATTTATTTCCTCTACTAGACAATGAGCTCTTTGGGTACAGGAATATGTTTTATCTCTCTCTGTATGTCTAGCTTCTAGAAGAATTCCTGGGAAGAGTAAGCAATTGCTAAATGCTTCTTGACCGAGTGATATAAGCATTATTTGTACTCATTCTTATTCCTTTGCTACATTTTGTGCACTTTTTAGAAATTTTTTTGTTACATTCTGGTTTTCACAGATTTAGAAAAAATTCTGGCAAATGCCATTATTTGTTCAAAAGTTGCTCTGCACAGAGACAGTGGGTTTGGTTTTCTTTGGGAAGTTGAGTGCCTACTGTCTGTGCTACACCTCCATGGGTTTATGACATATCCCTGAGGTACACAGGAACTCCTGCTCACCTGCTGCTTCTGGCCTTGGCAGTTTCCAGTTGTTGGGTAAGGAGCTTGGCAATGGTGGTGAAGCTGTTGCTCATGCGGAAAATATCTCTGCTCTGAGGGCCCAGGATGGAGGAGAAAGCGTCAGTGATGCTCTTAATCTCCAGCAGGAGAATATGATGAAATGAATGTTCCATGTTGGCCAACTGACTCACCAGGAATGGCAGGCAGCTCCTGGCTCTCTCCTGCCAAGAACAATGAAGGACAGTGTGCACTGTTGGTGGGAACATAAACTGGTGTATCCATAATGGAAAACAGTATGGAGGTTCCTCAAGAAATGAAAAAATATAACTACCATATGGCCAGGAATCCCACTTCTAGGTATTTATCCAAAGGAAACAAAATCATTATCCCAAAGGGATTTCTGTACTCCCATGTTCATAGTAGAATTATTTATAATAGCCAGGACATGGAAACCACCAATGTGTCCATAAACGGATCAATGGACAAAGAAAATGTGGTTTATATACACAATGGAATACTATTCATCCATAATCGTGTCATTAAAAAAGAAGGAAATCCTGCCATTTGCAACAACTTGGATGAACCTGGAGGGCATTATGCTAAGTAAAATAAGCCACACAGAAAAAGACAAATACCGTGTGGTATCATCTATATGTGGAAACAAACAAACAAAAAGTTAAAGTTGAACTCATAGAAACAGGGACTGAAGGGACTGGGTGGGTGGGAGAAATAGGGAGAAGTTGTTCAAAGGGTGCAAGCTTACTTTTAGCTATAAGTTGAAAAAGGTCATGTATAACATGGTGACTATAGCTGATAACACTATATTGTATAATTGAAATTTGCTAAGAGAGTAGAACTTAAATGTTCTCATTTACCATCCCCCCCCCGCCCCAAAAGGTAAATGTGTATGGTGATAGATGCATCAATTAACTCAATGTGGGGGAATCATCTCATAATGAATATGTATATCAAATCATCACATTGCACTTTTTAAATATCTTACAATTGTACCAGTCAATTATACATCAGTTAAGGCTGGAGGGGAACAAAAGAACAATGAAAAACAAAAATCTGTATTTTAAAAGAAAAACAAAGTCCCCTGATCAGCAGATGACATTTCTATGGGGAGCTGAGAGAGCTAGCTAAAACTAAATAATGTCTCATTCACAGTGCCTCTGAATTGGCTTCTTTGAGATTTTAACTTTTTTCCTGATTTTCAGTACAAACTTTTTTTTTTTTTAAAGATTTTATTTATTTATTTGAGACAGAGAGAATGAGAGACAGAGAGCATGAGAGGGAGGAGGGTCAGAGGGAGAAGC